ATATATATATATATATATATATATATATATATATATATATATATATATATATATATATATATATATATTTACGTTAAAAATTCGAATCCTGGGTAATGCCATGTAGTAAAAACAAATAAATACGAACACCAGGATATCAAACTAGGATTTGTTTAATAAAATGCTGAGCTTTCATCGGCCAGCACTGCCGACATCATCAGAGCATAGAAACAAGTCAATGGGAGTTTCCTTTTATAACACCGGCCGGTTTTGTGCACGGCTCTTGGACCTAGTCATCGGTCCATCTGATGTCTCTAATTGTTTCATTCTTGAAAGGCACGTACTCGCTGTTCCCTTGATGGTTTTTAAAGCCGCAATTCCCTTATCCACTTTCTTTTCTCCAATCCCCTCCCTTATGCACCCCCCCGCTGTCCTTCATTGCACCACCAATTTCTAGGGCTGCTGTTCCCCCCCTTTCCTTTTGCCCATCGCTTTCTTCGTATGCATCCCATCATCCAGATTCGTTGTTCCTTCCTCCCCCTCTTTTTCGGTCGTTTCCCTCACCTGCCCACGGCTATCTGCTGTCATCTCAATGATTTTTAGAGTCGCTGTTACCCCCTCCTCCTTTGTTACTGGAATCAGTAATACAACTTCTTTACCAGCAGACAGAACAAAACCTGCTAGCTTTGTGCGCATTCTTGGATCCTCTTCATATTTCATGCAGGAAAAAAAAGTATCACAATGTTTATTTCAAGATTCACTGGCTATTCCATGGAAAATAGCAAAGCACATGCCTGCCAAAATGTAATATCCAGAAACATCTATCCTTTAAAATTGCTGCAAGAGTGCAAAGCTGTTGTGATAGCCTTTAAAAACAAAAGCAAGTGTTCCTTTGTAATGAAATATATAAATTAAATAAAAGAGAAATTTGTTTCTTTTAAAAATGATGTCCAAAGGTTCCGACATTATCATTTTCCAATGATGGCATACATTTGTACAGGTAGTCCTTGATTTACAGCCATTTGTTTAGTGACCATTCAAAGTTCCAACAGTGCTGATAAAAGAGGCAACTGGTCCCTTCACAAGTCTTGCAGCATCCGCAAGATCATATGAACAAAATTTGAGCATTTGGCATGTATTTATGATGGTTGCAGCATTCTGGGGTCATTTGATTGTCATCTGTGATCTTCCCAGCCAGTTTTTGACAAGTAAAGTCAATGGGGAAAGTCGGGTTGTCTTAATGGCTGCGTGATTTGTTTAACAACTGCAGCAGAAAAGGTTATAAAATTGGGTGTGACTCACTTAACAATTGTCTTAGCGACAGAAATTCTAGCCCCAATTGTGATTGTAGGTTGAGGACTTCCTATACCAGTATATTCAACCTCTCCTCATCATATCTGGATACTATCAGCATCTGCTTTGTACTTAAGAGATTCACCTACGTAGTTCCTGCTCTTGACTTTCCTCTGCAAATAGAAAGAGACTTTTAAAAGTTTTTTTTTTAGATTTATTTTATTAATAAGAAAAATGGCATGCGAACATCCTTCACCTGGGTGAACCATTTTCCTGTCACATACCTATTGCACATGGAGAAAGCAAAACACAAAACCTAATCTGCTGTTTGAATTTCAGCAGACATGAAACAGCGAGATTAAAAAAAAAAAAGTGGATGAAGGTATGCATCACCATTGGGTCTTCTGCAACGTTATTACATAAAAGCACAGCATGGATACAAAGGCCCACCTTCTCCACTGCCTGGCATCAGGCTGGCTACCTTTTTTTCTTCACCACAACCTCCTTAGTAAGTGATATTTTACTCTATTAGTATCTTCATTCTATGGGGGGACATTTCGGGTCAACTAGATCTGTTCTAATGGTCTTAAATTGCCTGTGAAGATTTGGTGTCCCTGCATGTATCAAATCCCTTTTGTGCCGTTGGAAGTCTGTTTTTTCAAAAGAACTGATCCCTAAAGTGCAGATCACCAAACCGGATGAAAGTACCATGTGGCATATTCGACAAATAGGATGGCATCTGAAGCATGAGGGGTTTGTCGATATAAACTTGAAGCATCTCTACATCTGCCTTCTAGCCCATAAATCCAAAGGGAACTATGAGCAACTTGATTCGCACTCCAGTGTTTCCTGAAATATTAGGATCAATTGGGTTGGTCACAACTGCCTGATTAGAGATCATTCTACGCAAAAGTCTATGCAGGTGTTTCTCAACCTTGGGAGCTTCAAGATCTGTGAACTTCAACTCCCAGAATTCCCCAGTCAACATGCCCGCTGGGGAATTCTAGGAGTTGAAGTCCTCACATCTTCAAGCTGCCAAGATTGAGAAATACTGGTCTTCTGTAACGATACAGAAGTTTAAAAGACAGGTCATCCTCTATAATTCTGCGTTCAAATTAAGGTTACTCCAAATCTCAATAATCTATCCTTTGGATGGAGGACAAGTGTTGGCCCCAAGGAAATGCTAAGGGCTCTTAGAGTAGGACAGAAAGACAGAAACTTCAAGGAGGATTGCACACCCCGTTGTCAGGTCAGCATAAGCAAAAAGGGGAGAAATAGGTGAAGGAGGAACAGTGCAACACATCCCCCCATTCAAACACATCCACTGTATAACAACTGAAACATTTTAAGTGAGATTACAATGGCAAGAATGTGTTGTGTCCAGGTGAGAAATTCCCAAGTCACCATTTCTTCTCATATGTGGCACCCATCCCACTTCTTCAACTCTATCTCATACAAGTTTAATCTAATTCAGCTAAGTGTTCTGATAAAACAAAATGCATTTTTTTTCTTTTTGTAAATTAGTTTATGCCGGGAATGTTGCAAAAAGTGAATCCACTGAAGGGATGACCACCCCAAATTCATTGGCCAACAGTCCATGCGTAACTCATTCACCACTGAATTCCTATTCAACCAGAAGAAAAATCAGAGAATAAGATAAGTGTGGCAATTATCGATTTTTGTCCCAGTCTGCAAGAAACAGACAACACAGTTGGCTCCAAAGTATGAACTGGCTTCCCCAAAATATTTCAGTTGCTCACTTTATAAAATATCAGTTTTAGACACACCCACAAAAAAGCGAAGTGCTGTGTAGATAATGGCGTTATGGATAAGGAACTCGGGCCCTTCAGATATTTCTGAAGCCCAGGTTGTGGTAATTATCACCACTGGCTGAGGCTATTGGCAGCTGTAATTAACAACATCTGGAAGTCTCCAGGTCCCTCCCTATGTTGACCAGATAGCTATGAGGGAAGGGAAACTGTTTGGATAGGAATGTTGTTTTCCTTCTTAACCCACGTGGTCACTCTTCCAAACTGCAGATGCCTTTGCAACAGTATTTAGCTTTGCCTAACTCAAATTAAAGAAACATCCATTTTAACTATTTAAGACTGGTAAGAAGGAAAAAAAGGTGCAGAGTACAGTTTTGTTCACAACATACATTTTTTGTCCCTAAACTGTGATGACCAACACCAGCAGCACAATTGTAAGCCTCCTCACCAAAGCACCAGGAAAGGGAGGAAAGCTTGCTTTTAAAAAAAGTTGTTTTAAAATGGATTCATACCTTGAGCTATAAAAATACATCTGTATGAAAGGAGTACAAATCAATCCTTGCTTTATAGGACTGGACCATAGACTTTGCCCCTGCTCCTGTCCCAAAAGGGGGAGTTGGCTTCTCATTAAAGAGAAGAAAAAAAACTATGAAAAATGCCATAGGTCATAGGCATTAGAGACTTGGGACAAAAACTCAGGCAGGTCCTGCTAGACATCTTGAATCATCCATTCAAACAACGAAGTCTTTGTGAATGACGAGCACACACGGACAAATAGAACTAGTCAAAAGGGCGAATGACTGGACAAAAGCAATTAGGAAGCGTTCCTAATGGGACCAGCAAACAAAATGGAGAAGCAGGTCAGGCACCTGCTGTCTGTTTCTTTCAGCTGTCTTGGCCAACCCCTTGCCTCCAACTGTCACTCAGATGAACAATAGCCTTCCTTGACCCTCCAAGGTCTTTCTTTGATGGAATGGACATTCAGGGTCTCAGAAGTCACTCAGAATGCTGATGTCGGCAAACTCCTTCTTGTACCGATGAGAGTATAAGCCAAGGAGAAAAGCCCACTTGAGGGAAAGGATGCTCCAGATGCAGGATAGATAGTAGCTGTGTGGATCTGTAAAGGCTGGGAAGAACAAGCAAATTGCAGCATCTTATTAAGTGGAAGAAGCAGTATACAGCTCCAGTGTTGATTACTTTGTTAACCAGGTTCATTACTTCCAATATCCACCAGAATGCTCAATCTTCCACTGTTGTTGAACAATAGTCAAAGTGACTGAGGATTATGAGAACCATCACTCAACAAATATCACTCAACAACATCTAGAGTCCCAGAGAGCCTTCACTTGTCCTAGACGCTGTCATTAAATTATAACTCCAGCAATCTCAGGCAAGATGCCCAACAGTCAGAGACAAGGAATTGAGCAACACCTGGAAACTGCTGTTCCTATGGCAAGTTTACTGTATGTCTTTGCCAGTTGCTAGCTTGATGCTTCAAGAATAACTCCTAGAATTTTTACCTAGCCTGCTGTGAAGAAACACATGGGAAAGCCCCCAGATTCGAGAAGGATGGCTTAGAGTGATCAAATAAACTTACAATGTTGTTTTTGGCAAATCTTAAAGAGTTTATAAGACAATAAGGAGAGTGGTGGTTCATGTGGCTAGGATGCAAGACTGCTGTCGTGTGATGGAGTGAGCTCTCATCACTCACTTCAGCTCCTGTCGACCCAGCAATTTGAAAGCAAATGACCGTGAGTAGATAAATAGGTACCATTTTGGTGGGCAACTTAACAGGGACATGAAAGGACATCCTCTGGGCAACAGTGATGTCACCAGCTAATCCGAGAGCGAACGATACGACAGTATAAGGAAAGCCAATTTCCAAGCCATGTTGAGTATCTACCGGTCAAAGCCCACCCCTGGATTTCCCTTTTGAGGGAGTCATATTCAAGTATTATGTACAACCAAGCAGAATTAAGGCAGCACCGGTGCATCCAACCTTGAACTTGAGAAAGTGGATCTACAAGCACACAATGGCTTGAGCAAACAATTCAAAGCTTGTAGGATTATATATTCCAGCTCATATATAAATCTTTGCACCTTCACCTATTTTAGCAAAGGATCCTCCCATGCTGAGGTGCAGGTTTCTAACTCAGGAGTGGAGAGTCAGATGCTGCTGGGTCACAATTCTGATAATCTTTGAAAACTGACCATATCAACTGGGATTAGTGGAGTCCAATATTGTCCAGAGGGTCCCACTCTTTGCAGAGAATGTGGTGAAACTGTCTGATGGGTTCTCTAAATGAGGAGGAGGGGGCAAGAGGAGCAGATTTCATGGCTGTCACAAACTTGGCTCGCCCTCTTTCTTTTTTCCCCCCGGCTGCACAGATCTGCTAGTGTTAGACTTCAAAAGAGAACCAAATTATGGACTTACATTGTTTCTTTATGATGGCCAGGGCCAGGAATGTGCACAATCCCACCACGGAGAGTATGCCAAAGAAAATGCCAACACACATGAAGAACCTCAGACCTTTCAACCAGGTTCTCCAATAGTCCTGCATATACATCACATGTGTGATTAGGGCCCAGAGTGCCAAGACACCTGAATGAAACAAAAAAGGAGAATCAATAAAAAGTGAGCATGTAAACTCCAAAGTTGATCAGCAGTTTTAACCAGCAAGTTTCTGCAATTTCCTTTAGGTCAGGGTGACCCTTAAGAGGCACCCCAAAAAAGGGACCAGAGAAACACTGTGTTTGATTTCAATTCAGAATAGTTTAATACAATTCCACACACGGGTTACAGGCTGAGAATCTTCAAAATTGCCTACTTCATAGAAAACCTGCCCACCTAAGATGTGTTGGGAGAAAGTGAAAGTCCCTGCCCCACAAATGGCAGTGGAAGAATTCCTGGAGCTTCCCTCTTGTAGGATCAGTTCCCATCAAATTAAGAAAAGTGTTCTCCTTACTAAGGTTTAGAACAGACATGTTAAACACAAGGCCCGGGGGCCGGATGCAGCCCGCGAAGCCATCCTGGAAACAGTGAGGGAACGGCCCCCTCTGCCTTGGCCCTGGCCCAGGCCACCCGGGACCAATGTACAATTTTATGGTGGCCATCTATGCTGAAACACATTCAGTCTTAGCTCCATAAGGCTGTCTGGAAACAGCGAGGAACCAGCCCCTGCCACGTCGCCCCCGTCCCCTGGGTGCATGGTGGGGAGATGTCACCTTTGTGAGGAATGAAGAAATGCACCATCGCGCTGGCCACTTCCAGGCGATGGTGCATTTCTTCATTCCTCACGAAGGGTGACACCTCCCCAGCTGCGTTTCTTGCCTGTTTTTCTTCCTCCCTCATCTCAAATATTTTCCCACCACTCTGTACTTAGGAAGGAAGGAAGGAAAGAAGGAGAGGGAGGGTCTGAGGGAAGTCCTACCTTAGTCCTGCCCTGCTGCCCTTTCACCATCCCCTTGCCCCCTCCTCCTGGCCTAGCCTGGGGGTCTCCCATCCTATTGCTAAGGAAGCTTTGGATACAAAGCCGGATTTCCTCCCATGGAGAGGGAATGGGCCTCCCTCTGACTTTGCCCTTGTACCTATCATGAGCAACCTGGCTAAGGAGAACAAGCACAGCAGCAGCAGCCTTGAGGAGGTATGTGCAGCTGGGCGCCCCCTTGGGGAAGTGAGGCTGGGCTTGGTGCCGCGGGTGCTCGAGGACCAGGCTGGGCGTTTGACCTCTGCTGCCCAGGGCTCCGAGAAGCCCGCACCACCATCCAACCCCCCCTCGCATGGCCTGAGAGGAACAGTGAGGCTCCTTCAGTGGACCATGCCTTGGCACTTGCCCTGGTCCCACCCCCTTCTGCCAGAGACCCTCATATCTGTCCCACTCCTGCCCAGGCCCCCACAGGCACCCTTGACGCAAACGATGTAGAGCTGGCCATGCCCACCCAGTAGGCCACACCCACTCCATCCACACCCACCCAGTAGGCCACACCCACCCTGGCCACACCCACCCGCCCCCGAGGACAATCGCAATGCTGATGCGGCCCTCAATGAAATTGAGTTTGACACCCCTGGTTTAGAAAGCCTCAACATAACAGAGATGGAAGGGACCTTGGAGGTCTTCTAGTCCAACCCCCTGCTCAAGCAAGAAACCCTATACCATTTCAGACAAATGGCTGTCCAATCTCTTAAAAATCTCCAGTGTTGGAGCATTCACAACTTCTGGAGGCAGGTTGTTCCACTGGTTAATTGTTCTAACTGTCAGAAGGTTTCTCCTTAGTTCTAGGTTGCTTCTCTCTTTGGTTAGTTTCCATCCATTGCTTCTTGTCTTGCCTTCAGGTGCTTTGGAGAATAGCTTGACTCCCTCTTCTTTGTGGCAGCCCCTGAGATATTGGAACACTGCTATCATATCCCCCCTCATCCTTCTCTTCATTAAACTAGACATATCCAATTCCAGCAACTGTTCCTTATATGTTTTAGCCTCCAGTCCCCTGATCATCTTTATTGTTCTTCTCTGTATTCTTTCTAAAATCTTAACATCTTTTTTACATTGTGGTGACCAAAACTGGATGCAGTATTCCAAGTGTGGTCTTACCAAGGCATTAAAAAGTGGTATTAACACTTCACGTGATCTTGATTCTATCCCTGTGTTATTGCAGCCTAGGACTTTGTTGGCTTTTTTGGTAGCTGCCCCCCCACTGCTGACTCATTTAAGTGACTGTCCACTAGAATTCCAAGATCCCTCTCGCAGTTAGTCCTATTGAGCCAGCTACCACCTATTCTCTACCTGTGCATTTGTTTTTTCTTGCCTAAATGTAGAACCTTATTTTTTTCACCATTGGATTTCATTTTGTTAGATAGGGCCCAGAGTTGAGATTCTTCTGTATCTTGAGCATTTCTTCTGGAGTGTTGATGAGTGCCCCTTCTATCCGTTCATCTAAATTATTGATGAAGATATTGAAGTCTATTTGCAAACCTTTAAGCGAGTGTTTATATACATATATCTATCTATCTATCGTGAGCATACGTAAACATTTCACTCCAGATCTGCAGATGAGCAGAGGGAGAACCTGCAAGAACTGATAGGCTGCACCCTGGAAGTTCTGCAACACAACCCACAGCTCCATTATTAGCAACTGTTAGCAAATGGATTAGGGGCCATCTTCTTTTAATTTTTAGTGTATATTTAAAACACACAATCAAGAGAAAAAGAACTGGGGGGAAAACCCCATGAAGAAAAACAGGAAAAAAAGGTTGGCAAGTCATATAAAACTGAACAAAAAAGAGAAAGTAATATTAGATTAGTACAGGTAGTCCTCAACTTACAACAGTGCATTTAGTTCGAAGTTATATCATTGAAAAAAGTGACCCATGACCGTTTTTCATACTTATGACCATTGCAGCATATCCATGTTCACATGATCAAAATTTGGATGCTTGGCAACTGGTTCATATTTATGACAGTTGCAGTGTCCCAGGGTCATGGGATCTCCTTTTGCCACCTTCTGACAAGCAAAGTCAATGGTGAAGCTGGAATTCACCCTAACAACCGTGTTTCTAAGTTAACTGCAGCGATTCATTTAACAACTTTGGCAAGAAAGGTCGTAAAATAGAGCAAAAATCACTGAACAACTGCCTCACCTAACAACAGAAGTTTTGGGCTCAACTGTGATCGTAAATTGAGGACTACCTGTACAACATATTAAAGTACCGCATCTCATTTGAAGACTTCAAAATCTTTAAATCAAATTAGTGTTCAGTAATTAATGAAAGTGGCCAGGAAACAGTATATGAAACATAAGCCAGAGTGAACAATTAACATAATTGCTACAAAAAAATCCTAAAGATATCTTTTTTTCCCCTGGACTTGGCCTATAATTCAACCCCTGAATTATAGAAAAAATATGGAGGGGTTTTAAATTTAACTACTATTTTAAGTGGGAAACAGTTGTCTTTTTTAAAAAAAAACAATTTATTGTTAACACAGCTTGCAGGGCTTTTTTATTAGTATGGGAGAAAAAGTATGTTCTAGAAAGCAGGGGAACTAGTCTAGAAAACTCTTAAGATGAATATGCACTAAAAAACCAACATATAATGTAACGGGCTTCTGTGAGTTTCTTTAGGAGGAACCAGTAAACCACAAAGTGTTTTTCAAAGCTCAGCCAAGGAGGAAACTTCTTCTTTTTTAGAAGTTGACATAAAAACAAACAAGCTTCTGGTTGACATAAGCAATTAAATATGCCTAGTCACATTTTCATTCCTTCCCTGTTTTTCGGAGCAAGAAGGCCTCAGACTCCGTTTTTTCCCCTCACATGTTCAAAAACTGAGTCAGTTTTTAAGGAAGCTTGTGATGAGGGACTCCTGAGACATTGCACCCTTGTGACTCAGCAAAATACTTCTTTGGAAAGGAATGAGTTGGCAAAAATGTTCAACAAATCCAGAACTTCTCAAAACCTTAGTAACAATTTCCACATTTGCTTCTTCAGCCCCTGCATTCAAAAGTTACTGCTCAAGTAAGCTAAAGACCTTGATTTTTTTTTAAAAAAGGTAGACCATGCAATCTACGATATATCTATCTCCAGATATATTTTATAGTATATTTATCTACAAAGTTTTCATTCCAATAGCAAAAATTAATGATACTAAAATATTGGATTGCAAAACAGTCATTCACACACACACGCCTACACACACAGTATATATAGTAAAATGGTTTAAACTTTATATTAAAAAAATAAAGCATTACTGGGAAAATACTTTATTGAATTACTAATTAGTATTAAAAGTTTGATAATCTATTAGCACATAGCTCCTTTGGGCTGCTTAGTTAGAAAAGAAAAGAAAAAAGGGAAGGAAAGGAAAAAAAGAAAGATCTCTAGAGGCACATCAAGTTGCAATCAGGCTAATTTTTAGTATGAAGAGCTATCAATTAAATATGTATGCATCCTCTAGGAATAGTTAGATGAAAGCAGTTAATTAGAAGCTATAATGAGACTTAGTTTGGCTAATAACACATTTTATTCATACACTTATAATTTGTTATTTATCAGTTCTAGAAATGAAAAAAAAACCTAAAATGCAGATAGACTTCAACTTACAACCAATCACTTGGTGATTGAAGTTATAAGGATACTGGAAAAATTGACTTATGACCATTTTTCGCACTTAAGAGTTCTGCAGGATCCCATGATCAAAATTTGGACACTTGGCAATTGGTTTATATTTCTAACAGTTGCAGTGTCCCAGGGTCAGTGATCACCTGACCAGCAAAATCAATGGGGAAGCCAGATTATTTAACAGCTGTGCTACTGTATTCACTTACATCTGTGGCAAAAAAAGGCTGTAAAATAGGGCAAAACTCATTTGACAACTGTCTTGCTTAGCAATGGAAATTTGGGATTCAGTTGTGGTCGTAAGTTGAGAACTACCTGTATAACAGCAAATATTTTGACTTGCAGCAAAAGTGATATCTCACGGGTTAGCTATTCATAAAGATTATCTCTTTTGTTTCAACCAGGTGCTCATCAAAACTAAGTAATATGAATACAGATAGTCCTCAGCTTAATCCACATTTGGACCAGAATTTTTGTTGCTAATCAAGGCAGTCG